TTGAATCAGTCAACAACAACATCAAAAAAAATAATGTAGTGAAATCTATCCTTCCCTCCTTCCCCATTCTTAGGATCTAAAGATGTTCTCCAAGTTTATTTCTATTCACTTTATGATTTAACATTATTACTTTTAACTGATCTTTTTCTCTGTATATATCAATACACACATAATTTGCTTGTTTGTTAACAAAAATAGGATAAAACAATGTATATTTTTAGGTAGCTTTTCTTCTAACAAAATGTATGGATGGTTTCCTATGTCTATCTCAGATCTTTTGCATTCTTTTTAATGGCTGCATAGTATTATCTCTTATGAACATACCATAACTTATTTAAAATTTTTCATATTGATGGAAAATTGACACTATTATGAAAAATGCTTGGGTGCTTGTTCAATATTTTTTTGGATTAGGTTACCATAGATAGAATTGCTGGTTCAAAGAATATACATTTATTTACTTTTGACTTACAACCAAATTACCTTCTAAAAACAGTGTAATGATTTTTATGCCCATCAACAGTATACAAATGTGATTTTTAATGGAGACAGTATAGCATAGGAGTAAAGAAATTATGCTTTAGCATTAGAGAGACCTGGTTTGAATCTTGTCTGTGCTACTAGCTGCTTGACTATCTCAGTTTCCCCATCTGTAAAATGGTGGTGCTGATACCCACATGATAGGTCTGTGATAAGAATTAATTAAATGTTGGCTGTAGATCTTCATTAAGTACTTGGCACCAATTCTCTACTCTGGGAAATTTATAAATATTGTTATTTATAACATTATAATACTAGTTACTAGTATATTCAATTTTGAACACATCTCTTCCCTATTTCCTCATCTACTTTAATTTTTATTCACTTGACAGTCTCAGATAGTCCTGGTTCAATGCATTCCATCCTTCTTCCTCTTCTTTCCCAATATCCTCAGACTCACATGGATGACCCAGAAGATAATTTAATACGGTGTGACCCAAGCATGCCTACATCTCTGGCCAGTCTACACCTGGAGAGAAATTCACTACTGTTGCTACTGTTTCTCATCAGCCTCCATAGGCTCCATTTAATTGAGTGGGTCAAAAAGCAAGGGCAGAAAAAAAAAAAAAAGGATTGGTGTCTGAGGAATCTATCCAGAAAGAACAGAGGTAATGTGTGTGAACTATACAAATGCTGTTATCATATCTTCCTCTGTAGCTGGTGATGATCAAAAGAGAATCCTAGGAATGCCGTAGAATAAACTTCCTACCACTGATGGTAGAACAATTCAAAGCACTACAGACATCTGAAATATCTTCTTAGAGTTAAAAAAAAAAGAAAGCGCATTATAATAGATACCGTATGGGTGATTTATACAGTATACAGACTTGAATTTCTTCTAACAGCATCTGAATATTTCACACAAAACGGTTCTTGAGCATTAAAAAGATGAGACTTTCTATCCTATCCAGATTGCTTTCAATCTCATGCAAACATGGTAGAACAATTCAAAGCACTACAGACATCTGAAATATCTTCTTAGAGTTAAAAAAAAAAAAGCGCATTATAATAGATACCGTATGGGTGATTTATACAGTATACAGACTTGAATTTCTTCTAACAGCATCTGAATACTTCACACAAAACAGTTCTTGAGCATTAAAAAGATGAGACTTTCTATCCTATCCAGATTGCTTTCAATCCTATATGGGATCCGAACCCGTGGCCTTGGTGTTATGAGCACCGCACTCTCCCGAGTGAGCCGCAGGCCGGCCCCTCATGTAAACTTCTGAGGAAAGCTCAGGTTTCAGACTGTGGAGCGGAAGTTGTAAAATGCTTAAAACAAGGGACTATTTGTGGTGCTCTAAAGACTGGACCAATATGCACACTTGATCCTGGGAGGCAATGACACTGTTGGAAATGTTAGCATATTTCAGTTGTTTCTGTCAAAGAGAGTGCTTAAGGAAAAGATTTAATATGTAATCCCCCCACCTCCGAAAGACTACCCTATTATGGCCTGAGAATGTGTGTGCAGGAAAATGGATAGTTTACTTTTTCAGCTCAGTTGTGCAATAATGGCTTCTCACAGGCACAGGACTGGCAGAGACGTGGGACTCCTAAGTTTCCTCCTCCCCCAACATCGAGATAAAGTGAAAGTAAATAGGCGCTTGGAAAATTACTAGTGCTCTGCCTTAGCAAGGCACATGAGAAATGGGGGCAGAAAATTTGTCACGTTTCATTTCTTTTCAGTACTGCTTGTACTCACAACTTTCCATTGCGGAGCTCCTAGGAAGAATTTTCTATATTATCCTTTTAGTGCAAAAACTTTCATAATTGGCTTTTCTGCTTCTGGTTGCTCTAAAAGGCAGAGGCATCTGACAAGCCTTTGTGATCCATCTTAATTTACATTTCTATGAGAAAGATAATTTATTCTTTAACTGAAATTAGACATTTATCCCATGCCTATTCATCTGAGTAACATGCTTTTATTGAGGGGAACCAGGTCATTTCCTGTATGCTCTTCCTGCCTTCAAATTTAAATACTATATCAATATTTTTCTGTTTGGGAGAATTTTGTTTTGGACAACGATGTGCCGCCCTCAGAGGGGAGATTAGATAATCTACTTTGCAATAGGGTCTAAATTCAAACATCTCTATTTCTGATTTCTGAAAATGAAACAAAGGCTGAAGTGAGGAAGAGGTTACAGTGCTAATACAAACTGCTGACTTCAGCATTTGTCTCAATTTCTTTCATAAACTTCATTCTCAAGGTCAGTTGCACACTTATTCCCACTGGATTTGATTGTTGGGTGGATAATGACCTTTTGCATGGAAGGTTTCAAAGGCTGGAACCTATGAAGAAAAAGGTTTGTAAATCAGAATGTGAGCCCCTGCACATACTGGACAGCCACCAAAAAAAAAAAAAAAGAGCCCCTTGACAAAAGGGACTTGCTTTTTTTTCACTGTTATATCTCCACGCAAAGAAAAATGCCCACGACACAGTGAATGCTCAATAAATACTTGTTGAATAACTAGGAGAAGTATTTTGCCTATACTGAATTTAACTATCCTCAAATACTTTCAAAACCGTTTACCAATAACTGCCACTTGTAACTTATTCTGAGGTTAGCATATCATTTCTTCAATAAAAGGTGTCAGCACACTATTTGTTTGGAGAAGAAAATAACATATTGAAAAAAACAAAATATGGGAAAAAAATCAATATATAGTCCATTTAAGGAAAGGGTTATTTACTAAATGTTTATTAAGCAACTAAAATGGACTAAGCACATATTGTTACCAGGCAGGCCACGCTGATACGAATCAGATGAACCCTGCCCTCAGGATGAATCTAAGCAGGAGGCAGGCACGGACATGTTCACAAACATTATGACGGAGAACAGTGATCAAGGAGCCATCCAGAGCAAGCTCCAGGGAGGGAAAGGGCTATGTCAAATACATCTGTGTATCCTTATCACCAAGTGAAGAGTAGATACTTAATATTTGTTGAATAAATGAATGATAAAATGGTCTCTTCCTCATAACTGAGTCTAAGTCCTTGAGTTTAAAATAAAGAAAAAAAATAAATAAATAAACAATATGGTGTTTTAGTGGATCAAAGGAAGAGATGCATATAGGGAGGAAGGATCCAGATCTAGATCTAGATCAAGGGTCATGAAAGCAGTGAGGTTGAAGAGCGACCTTGCAGGCCCAAGGAATGAAATTAATGAAGGTATGGAGAGGAAGGGGAAATGCAGAGCAGGTATGGGAGAGTGAAGTAGCCAGGACTTCGCTGCCACAGGCCCGGTGGCAGGTGAGGAGGCAGTAGGTAGGGCCGAGGACTGAGGACGGCCTGGCTGCTGTGGGGCCAGAAGCCCGGGCCTCACCTTGGGTGAGCATCCTGATCAGGGAGATCAGGGAGATTAGGTGTACTGGGGTGATTATCTCAGCACTGGTGGGCAGCTGGCACAGAAGAGCATTAGACTAAAGGCAGTGAGACCACTTAACTTCCCTTTTTTTTTTTTTGGCGGCTGGCCAGTAAGGGGATCTGAACCCTTGACCTTGGTGTTAAAACACTGAGCTCTAACCAGCTGAGTAACCAGCAAGCCCAAGTAACTTTTCTATTATAGGAGGAAACAAAACCCACGAGGCTCTTGTTTAGGAGATGGAAGAGGGATTAAAAAAAATTCCAGAGAGGTGAGAAAACTGTTATGAAAAAGAGAGGAGTGGTTGTTTAGACACAGGGTTGGGGGTGGGGTGGGGGACTAGGGGGAGGAACAAATAATGACTCCAGGTCCAAGTCTAAGTGACTGAGGAGATGGCACTTTTAACAGGAATGAGGAAAGTGGCAAGAACAGCCTATTTGGGACGGGGCTGGGGGAGTGAGGTTGAATTTAAATAGTCTCAGGTGCAAAGAGGATAGCCAGTCAGGGATGTCCAGCAGGCAGTTGAAAACCTGGTGGTGATCACACAACAGCTGGAGAAACAGGTGTTTTGTTTTGTTTTAAACTGATGTATTTGTTTGAACATTTGGTAAAAATGAAAATTAGTTCTCCTTCCCACCCCTGGCTGCCTGTTTTCTCTCTCCGGAAGTAACCACTTTTAGAGATGTTCTGTATTTACATGTTTTTATGTCCCCAGGAGACTTTTGTATTTTTGTTTAATGGCAAGAGAAGACTTGTGTATCTTTGTGAAGGAAGGAAAAGAACAAGAAGAGAGATTGAAGAAGCAAATTAAAGAGGAATTACTGAAGCAGATTCTTAGAGGAGGCAGGAGAGGATAGAATCAGCGCTGTCTGTAGCTATATGTTTTAGTGAGAAGAGTGGATCCTTTCTGGAACTAGGAAGGGCAGGTTGATGGCAATAGAGATTTCTGATGCTGCATCACCTGGGTGGCCTGTCTCTTCAGCCTGGTGGTGGCAGAGATGCATGCAGAGGTTGATGGAAGGCTGGAGGAGGAGGCTGAAAAGATGTAAAGTATGTGGACACTAGAAAGTATCACAGAACTGGCAGGGCCAAAAATCAATCTAAAAAGGTTTATTTTGATGATTTATAAAAGAAATATCACCATAGCAACTTAAAGCTATTTACAAATTTAAAAATAAATTTCCATAAATGTATTCACATCATAATACATCAAGCAGTTGTAGTTAAAATATTACAGGTAGTGTTGAACAAATACAACAAAACACAAACTAAGTTTTAAATCACATAATTGTCCTGGAAGCATCCTCAATAACCACCAGAAGATGGTCCAGGAAAAAGCTGCAAAAACGTGATTTCAGGAGCCAGCAATAAAGATGATTACACGGGTCTCCAGTGATGTGTTCTTTAAAAGTCACTTTAACTTCAACCAGAAGCTTACATGAAGACAGACTTGAAGAAAAAGGGAGAGTTAAAAAAAATTTATTCTCATGTAGCTTAAAAAACAAAGAACTTGGAAATTTATACTCTGATCCACATGAAAGTAGTTTTAATTAACGATGACATTATTTGTGATGGATTGTGCATCACGCTTTTCTATAGCAGGCTGCATGCCAGTCAGCGTTCCAGTGTGCTGGGAAGGGAAAGTCTGAGGACGCATCAAGATCATAGCTGTGTGTCTCACTGCTCCTGCCTATGCAGGGCTTTATCTACACATTAATAGCTCCAGGGAGGAAGAACACCATCCAAAGACTTGACACTAACCCTGGGCTTGGATGCTGCCTCTCACAAGTGCCGGGCACTTTGAAGCCAGGGACGGAATGCTTGGCAGCTGTCTGGGCATGCTTCCCTCAGTCCAGCTGCCAGGCCAAATTCCACAGTGTCTGACAGCTCCACGGCGATGCTAAAAGTTGAGACCTAAGTGTCACAGAGAGCTGATAAATAATTTTTATGAGGAAAGTGGATAAAAACAGGTGTTTACCAAGACCTGAGAATTATTATCTAGTTTAGTTAAGCAAAGGTATTAGAGAGGTCCATTTTAGCTCATTCCCTTAAGTATGGCCCTTAAAAATAAATAAAACTCCCTTACTTCATGTTGCCTGACTTGCAGTCAAGCAATGTGAACCTAAAGTATAAGTTCCAGCATATATAATTAATAATTAAAAATAGCTAATTTTACTAATTTGGCAACTAGTGAAATATCATGATTACAAGCTTTAAAAATTTAATACAGGTACATTTTTTTTTGTATATAGAATGCTTATACATTAAAATATCAAAGGCACTTTTAGGTTACATGATATATAAAAATACATTAATACAGACAGGGTTATTTACTGGCTCCTTTAGTTTCTGTGTCTGTGTTGTTCACTGAGAGCCCAGTTTTGCACTTCGCCTTTGGCAAATAGTGTAAAGAACATGGCGCCAAACACATTAATAGCAGCAGCGATACAGAAGACAGTTTGCCATTCTCTAACAGTGTTCTGCAGAGAAAAAAAGAAAGAATGCAAATGAAAAAAATTTTGCTTGTAGTCCACTTTATAAAAATGGTGGTGTCACAAGACTGTTAAAACAGGAGCATTATTCATAAAAGCCCCATGCTTGAAACAAACCAAATGTCTACCAACAGTAGGGTTGGGTCTGCTCAATGGAATACTGTATAGCAATGAAAATGAATGAGCTACAACAATATAGATACATCTGACAAACAAAATGTTAAACAAAATAAACCAAACTAAAAGCACATAACGAACGATTCCATTTATATAAAGCTCAAAGTCAGACAAAACTAATCTATGGTGTTAAAAAGTCAGGATACTGGTTCCTCTTGGTGGGGCTGAAGGAGGGATGGCGGGAAGGGGTACACCTGGGAGCTTATCAAGAGAGGTACTGTTTCTTGTTTGGGTGCTGGTTACATAGATGTGTTAACTATGAAAATTCATCCAGCTACATTCTTAAGAATTAAATATACATGTTATAATTCAATAAAAAGTTTACTAAGAATAAAAGATGTGGCACATCTTTGAATCATGTGTTACTAGGAAAGGGTTATGTGTGTGCATCATCTCCCAAGTTCTTAAGTGCGAGGTGTCAGGCGGATCAAATAAGAATTAATTAAGGTGTACTGTGAAGTTCAGGTATGAGCGTACGGGACAGCAGAGGGAGGCTGGCCAGTGAAAGATGTTCAGTGGCCTGGGAGTGGAGAAGAAATAGGAACGCTATCTGTGGTGAACTCAGAACTGTCTGAAATCAGCCGACTTGGTAATAACAAAGTTTGTAAGTATGTCCTAAAATTCTAAGGATTTGACATGCTGTTAATTTGATCATGGAGATGAAAATAGAGAAAATTAAGTCTTTTTTTATAGGTTTCATTTGAAGAATATATTCTACCAGTTCTTTAGATATTTTTAAATGGTAGAAAATGGGAATTGGAAGGGACCTTTGAGATCACTTATTTTGGTTCCTTACACAGTGTAGGCAGCCTTTTAAATTGCTCTGCTAACTGATCTGGGCCCTTGCAGCCTTCCAGTTTCAGGTCTGACCCAGGCTGGATCCCCTGCCTCTAAGGCCTGGGAGCCCTCACCACACCCCCTGACTCACTTTTATGGGGCCCCTTCCCTACTTCTCCCACCCAGGAACAGAAAGGTGTTTCCTCCTCTCTGCCCATTGCACTCTGCACACATTTTTTCTGCAGCATGTGTCACACTGTACTTTAACTCTTTGATTACATATAATCTCTAAATGGTGAGTTAGTTTCTCAGGTATAGAAGAAGCTTGTCATTTTGCCTTTTATCCTCAGTATCTAGCATATTAACAAGTACTCAAGAAATGCCTGCTGAAAAAATGTTTGGCTATTTCAGGGCTTACTAACTCATAAGGCAGCCCATTCCATAAAGTAACAGCTTTGAACATTTTCCTAATATCTCCTTATAACTTCTCTCCATCTGTCTTTGTGGAACTGCCGAGAAAAAGTCACCATCTCTCACTTAGTAGCCCTTCAAATATGTGAAGATGCTATTATGTCTTCCCAAGTCTTCTGGTCCTCTAAATATTCTCAATTATTTCAACTGTTTCTCATTCATTCTCACACGATCTCATACCTCGCCTTCAGGGGTCCACTTTTTAAATAATTTTACACTGTCAATTTTTATTCATCCAAACCAAAGACACGAATTGTTTATCTGGTATAACATTACAACTTTTAACTACTTGTGTGGTTTTAGCAACAAGATCTTCATTTAACTTAGTTATATTGTTCTGTCTAAAACTCAGTGTTCTTTAAAAATATACTTTCCTAGGCATTATGGCATTTAGTTATTTATTGATATAATTTATAAGAATAAACATTCAGAATTTCATCCTTAATTAAGATATACTCAACTTTGACACAGATGTAAAGCTCCAAAACTTTTTGGTTTACAAGCAAATTATCTACTTACGTCAGGGGTCAGACTTTTAGCAATGACAGGCCCAACCATTCCTGGAATAGTGGCAAATGTATTTGTGATGCCCAGGAGTATACCAGCATACCTGTAGAAACATATTCATAGAGGCTTATTATTGTGTCACACATTTTAGCAGCTTCTTTGAATAGATAGCTATTTCACTCCCAGGCTGTGTTCTTGTGAAATTTTGTCTAAATGAAAAATCTTACTGAAATAGGATTTTATATTCAGCTGGTGAGAAACTTCCATTTCAATAGTTAGCATTTTAACATTAAATTGAAATGATCCCTTTAAAAGTTATATAGGAAAGAGCTGAGATATGACTTTCATACATGACTGTATCTGGATAGGAAGTCTAGATTAAATTGTTTCAGTCAAAAAAAGAATTGATTTCCTTATTACAAAATTCAAGTGTAATTAATTATTGAAAATTAAAAATTTTTATTAAACAAGGAAAAACATTAAGAAAATAAAATTACTTATAATTATTCCACATAGAGATAATCAACTTTAACATTTTCATAAGTACAGTCATCCTTTGGTATCCATGGTGGATACCAAAATCTGCAGATGCTCAAGTCGCTTTTATAAAATGGCGTAGTATTTGCATATAACCTACACACATTCTCCTGTATATTTTAAATAATATCTAGATTACTTGTAATGCCTAATGCCTAATACAATGTAAATACTATGTAAATAGACCATATTGTTTTTAAAATTTGCATTATTTTTTATTGTTGTAATGTTATTTTTTATTTTTTGAATATTTTCAATTTGCAGTTGTTTAAATCCACAGATGCAGAACTCACTGATAGGGAAGGCTGAATGTATCCTAATTTTTTTCTATATGTATATATTTCTAGATTATTATAGACATGAGGTCATATTGAACATACAATTTTTATAACTTACTTGTTCCAATAATTACATATTTGCTTGTAGCTAAATCTTTGCACACTGTCTCAGAAGTAAACAAGTTGGTTCTACAGTGTGTGTGTGTGTGTGTGTATATTTGCTTGTAGCTAAATCTTTGCACACTGTCTCAGAAGTAAACAAGTTGGTTCTACAGTGTGTGTGTGTGTGACAAAAAAGGCATTTTTAATAAGTTCAGAAAAAGTTTCTCAAATGCAATGATTTATTTTAAGGGTAAATCTTAGGGGAGTGGGACATTCTTATCTATATTTAGATGCAAACCTTTAAAGAATTTCTGCCTGTATTTGGGAAATGCTAATGATCTGTTGATTTCTCCAAAATATTAGGAATGTATGTAGACTAAAGGAGGCTACCATAGCCAAGATCTTCAGTAAGTACCATCCTAAAAAGAATGAAATGTTTATCATTTCCTATACAGAAGTCATAATGGACTGGTTCTCAGGGGACCTAAAGATTCCTGACATAGCTCCACCATTAACGATCTGTGTGACCTTGGGCAAGTTAGTGATAGATCATTATTTCCCTTATTATACATGGTTGGTCCACAGATGTATACACGTAACATATCTGGTGGTCCCAGCCAAGCTCCCTCACACCATACTAGGTATACTAAAAAATTTTTTGAGTGTAACATACATAGAGAAAAGTACACCAAACATCAGTTTGCTGAATTTTCACAAAGTGAATACAACCATGTCACTAGCACCTGATCAAATAGAACCTACTGGTATAAGCATTTTCAGAGATGTTCTACATATGGTTGAACTACCTCTCAGACTATGTAAACTTTAATTTGGATAGTTATAATTTTGTCAGGATACCCCTCTCCTACTAACAAACCTACAAGGATGGTTTAATGCTTACCTTAAGAAGACTGCAAACCTTCATCCTGATTGGCAAAGGCCTGGCCTTGGTCCATCTACACAGCCTTATTTCCTAGTACTGCATAATCACACCTTCAGATCCAGACACCTCTCATTCCAGCTGCTCACATCTGCTGTGTTCATTCCTGCTACTTATCTTTACTCATGCTATACCTGCTGCCTGAAATCTATACTCCCTCCATCCCAACCACTCACTTGGTACTTCTTCCAATAAGCCTTCTCTGTCTAGTTCAGCTCATATTGAGCTGCCCTCTTAGAATTTTTTTTTCTTTTTTAAAGATGACCAGCAAGAGGTCTTGACTTGGTGTTGTCAGGACCATGCTCTCCCAAGTGAGTCAACCAGCCATCCCTATATGGGATCCGAACCCGTGGCCTTGGTGTTATCAGCACCACACTCTCCCAAGTGAGCCACGGGCCGGCCCTAGAATTTTTATTGTCCTTAAAGCTAGTACTACCTGTATTAAGATATAATTGTCCTCTAATTTAAGGTTGCTAATTCTGCAAACTCACATTTTATTTCCCTTTATAATATCCAGTGCCCACTACAACACATGTGCTCATTCAATATACGCTGACCACAGTCAATCTGGGCCCCATGTATAGACCCAGGGGCTCTAACTGCACTGACTACTGGAGCTTTGTTCCATGCAGACGAGCACCTCTCTTGGGCATTGGCTCTAAAGGTTGCCAATTCCTCATCAGGAATTTTATATGAATGAAATCATACAGTGTGTAACATTTTGGATTACATACTAGGGTCACTAAGCATCATTCCAAACTGTTGTGTGTATCAATAGTTAATTTCCTTTTTATTGCTGTCTCTTCTCAATTGAAGAAACTGGGATTTTTGTCTTGTAGATATTCCTTAATTCTGGATTTTGTAGATTGCATATCTGAAGTATCATTTAACACAATCTTAAAACCCCTGTACTTCCTGTACACTGGTAGTACCTAGACTCTAGATCCTAGAGGGTTCATTAGATTTAGGTTTGATGTTTTGGGCAAGAAAACTTAAAGGTGGTGGAGGAATTCAGTTTAAGCTAGTAAATGGTATTTTAAATTTATTTTTCATAAAAATCTCCTGGACATATACACATTCTAATTAGAGCTTTACATTTTTTGTGAGATAATCAGTTTTATTATAAAATACAATTCTGGTCAAAATTAAAGAAGCTTGAATGTGTTATTAGTTCATATAGTCTTATTGTGGGATAATACAATTTCTGTTAGGGTTTAGCATCCTGAATACCTAGATTTCAGACTATTGATCTGAAATATCTCTCCCTATCTTGGATAGAAAGGTGCCTAAATAAAAAATCCTGCTGAACCGAATTCACTTATCTATAAACATCGCAAATTTTTATGTTCAAAACCTGAGTATACATGATACAATAACAAAACCACGAGGCACAGATCTTTTGGGCTTATCTCCTCTAGGGAGTGTATCTTAAATTAACCAAGCTTGGCAGGACCTGTGTGTGTGTGTTTTTTTTTTTAAAACCATTAACACCTTGGCAGTAGGAGGAACCAACTGCAATGTTGCCAGGCCTTTTCAGTGACAGATATTAAGTGCAGATGAATCCTGTAAAATTCTAAGTGTCAGCACTGAGAAGCTCATTCGAATATTTATATTACACTTGGCCAGGAAGGACCATGAAAGATTGATGACTGCTTGGAAGAAAACATGTTGCATGGACTCAGTCTAGATTCTATTCTATTGTAGTACGAGAATTCTGTGGGATTAATAGTTGGAAATTATCTAATTCCCTTGAATATGGGCAACAAAATTATCAATAGAAAATCTCTATTTCAATCTACTGAAGAAGAGTCTTAGAAAATAACATCTACACATGTATATGTTAACAGGAATACTGATTGTTTATTGAAAAACCTTAAATCAGGCAGTTATAAGTATTTTATATATAGTATCTCATTTTAATATTAAAAATCAACCCTGAGGTTGATTTTTTTTTTTGTCTTTTTCCGTGTCCGGCAACGGATCGCAACCCTCAGTGTCGCCCCCCGCACCGGACCGGGACCGGCAACGGGACCGCAACCCTCGGTGTTGCTCCCGCGCCTCGCTCAGCCAGTGAGCGGGCACCGGTCTGTATGTGGGATCTGAACCCTCGGGCGGGAGCGCCACCGGGCTGGCCCCTGAGGTTGATTTTTAATAGCAAAATCAACCGTAAGGTAGGGATTATTATGTTCATTTTATACATGAAGAAAGACTATAAAATGTTACCCAATTTGTCTGATTCTAAATTAGTATTTAATATTATAATGTTATAATCTACAGTGCTACCTTGATACAAACATAGTGATTACTGAATGTGATCTGTAGGAAAGACAAATTTTCTCAAGTTTAAGTTTTCACCACCAGCCCTGATGCTGAATGCTTAAGTGTCTGTGGTCCTCAAGTGTTCTTGTTCTAACTAGCAGAATGTTACACTGAATGGGCACTCAGTTGTTACCAAGACAAAAAGCAACTAAGCAGCAACATGGTTATAAAATATGTAACCCCCCAGTTAACCAAGACACAGGGGACGAGAAATAACTAGTGTGCTTTGAACCAAGAAATTCTAGTTGGAAAATAAAAACTAAAAGCTCATCTGAAGGGTTAAATAAAAATATAAGGGATTTAAAAAAAAATATATATATATATATAAGGGAGAGAAATAATTTTGACTCTGATACCTTATATTTGTACAGCTTTAAAATTTTAAAAGTTTGTTGAGAGCCATTAATGTGGTGTCTCGGTCAGCTGACAGCAAGTACAGCAGTCTGTATACCTGAGGCATGTAGGCATTCTCCTAACTTCTACAGCTATCTGCTGGCACTGTTTATGTTACTAAACTGTTTAGCTTCATACCACATCAGTCTTTTTTGATGTATAAAGCTCACAAAATTTCAGGGCTGGACCAGGGTCTTTGAGATGTAGAGTTCAACCACCCAGCTGTTGCTTGAAGCCCAGACACAGGATCCCACTTCTGGTTGTCCAGTACATACTTCATGACATGACCTTATCACCGTCCAAGCCAACACAAGCTTACACAGATGCAAGCAGAAATTGTGTTACTTTCTCGTTTGTGGTTTTAACTTCTGGTACAGTGCCTGGCACAGTGTTTGTTAAATTAGATCCACTAAACATCATGCTATTATACTGAAATTTACCTAATTGTACATTTACATCCAATTCACATTTCTCCATCTTGTCCAAAAGGGTACCATGGAAGATCTTGTTGAAGTCCTGACATACAAAATCAGC